CACTACAAAGGGAACGGCAATAGGTAACAGTAGACAACCACTCAGATTTTGTAAAGAAACTGGGATTAGGAATCCGAATGTAAGTGAGATTGTCTCGGGAAAAAATGGGCAGAACACTCTGGGGATCACTTCAGTCACGCTTCGGTTACCTGGATAGCAAGTTGATGTAAGTTCTCCGACTCTTTATCAAGTTAAAAAACCTATAGGAAATCTGAAGTGAGGAAGAGCAGCCGATCCCGATAGATTGACACGTGAGATTTCTAAGGATGGTGTTCCAGTTTTAGCAGTGACATTGACTGGGATCTTACGTAGGGTGCGGGAAGTGAACGTAATTCAATTCGACTGGTCTGAATCATTGACTGTCCCAGTCTTTGATGAAAGACAAAAGTCCTATTGTGAATATCATAGAGGAATCAGTTTAACTAATATAGTGTCTTAGATATCGGGCTTCAACGCCTGACTAGACCTTGTGAAGGTCAGAGTAGATTCAAACCTGCAAGTAGATGAATGGATCACATATTCTCGCTTCGACAGGTTCTAGAACACAGACATTTAGGCGTCCAACAATACTTGTCTTCGTGAACCTTAAAGCGGCATTTAAATCTGCTGATCGTGGGGTTCTAAGACAGTGTCGGTCATTAAAAGGTGTAACAGATAAGTACACTACCACTGTACAAGCTTTCTATTCGAACACCTCTGGTCGACTTAAAGCTTATGGCGAACTGTCAGCAGAATTCATTACTTCAAGTGGTCCGTGAGGACCGTCCACTTTCTCCATTCTTGCTTAACTTTGTCGTAGACATGCCTTTAGAGTTAACATTATCTTCATCTGATTTTCCAGGGGTCGACCTTCTACCAGCAGACTCGCTTGTTGACTTAGAATATGCCTGTTGGTTATGTGGTGATTGGCACTACGTACGATTCTGTCCATTTAAAAAACATAAATGTCAGATGTGCAACAAACGTGGACATAAAGAAGGCCATTGTCAACCTAATCGTTAGTCTCAGCCCAGGAAGAAGCACAAACGTACTCGACATGTGGTGAAATTAGCCGAGTCTAAATCACTTTCTCTCGTAGCTGCTTTTCAAACAGATTATGACGTTCGGAGAAAGTATGTGACTATCCAGATGAACGGTGCATCAGCTCGTTTTCAAATCGACACGGCATCTGATATCAACTTAATGTCCAGAGAAACGTACAACTTGCTGGGAAAACCGCCAATGAAGCCATCTAAGAAAAAAGCTAAAAGCGCTTCAGGTGGTGTGTTAAAACTGGTTGGTGAGGTACAGTGTGAATTTTCCTTCAACGGGACAAAATGTACAGGAATATGCTATCTAACAGAACGGCCAAACCTTGATCTTCTTGGTCTAGATATGCTAGAAAAACTGGGAATAATGGATTTACCCATTAACAGTGTCTGCAGCGTCCCGTGTTCATCATTGGACACCCCGATACTTAAAAAGAAGACAGGTGAAAGGTTACAGTATAAACGGAAGAGGAAGTCAGCTTCTGTTTTTCAGAATAGCCTTGGCCGCTGTACGAATATGGAAGCTCACCTACCAGCGAAAGCAGATGCCAAACCTACTTCACGTCCGAGACGCCCTATACCATATGCTGTTCATGAGTCTCAACAAAACTTATCGTTGGGGAAGCAGCCCAATCGACGGTTGTTTAAAGATATGGTTCCTGCAAAGCAGGCGGCTCGTAAGAGTTCTGGTGGCAAGGCACCCAGGAAGCAGTTGGACTCTAGCAACAGATCCTACGAATTTTCTCAAAGGGGACGTGTTAGTGGGACATAGATAGAATTAAAGCATGACTACGTTGCTACGCGCTGATTGGCTAATTTCCTATCCAATCAGCGCCTGATCGATTCTTGGAGAACAGGGTAGAAAATTCTCGTATTGTCAGCTGCGTGCTGATTGGTTAAACCTAATCCATTCGATCACGTGAATTTCTATCCGGAAGCTTCTCATGTAAATGCTATAAATAAACTAACGTTGTATCTATTTTGGCCTTCTTTGCCTTCGCCACCACCTCTGGCTTCTTATTCCTTTCTATTTTGGAGTATAATCTTTCCTGTTCAACCGCGTTTTGATTCTTGGGAACTTGCCCAGTGTTTTGTGGTCAGAGAATACTAAGCAATAGGATTTAGCTGGGAATTATCTAAGCAAGCATTACAACAGTATCGACGGAAAATATATCTAAGTAACCGTTACAACAATGCCGATGGCATAGTTCTATTCGATGAAGACGTTGATAAAAAATGCAGTCTTCTGACCACCCTCAGCAACGATGCAAGCATATTCGGGATGCGGTTTTCTCCCCTCGAAATGCAAAATATTGCTTCAAGGTTGGGTTGCATCGGCTCTTGAACTAATGATAGGGAGTGAATTAGTCGAGCGTGTTGACCGCTCTACGTATCTGGAGAGTCAAATCAGTGCTGATTGCCTGGTGACTGACGAAATCTCAGCACGGATACAGAAGGTTCGACTGACTTTCACCGACTCGAGTCACGGCGAAGGCGAGACATGTGCTTGCTAACTAATGACGAGTGTGCTGTGCAGTAGTTCGCTCCGTCCTACCAAATGGATGCAAAACATGGCCGATGAGAGTAGAGGACATTGGCAGGTTATTATTATTCCATTATGGATGTCTTCAAAGCATTACTCGTGTAACATGGTACAACCGAGAAAACAATACTATAGTTAGGAAACCAGTAACAAGTAGGGATGGCACGTCAATAAATGAAGTAGTTAGGTCATGTATTACGTACGTTGGAGACCTATGCTCCACTGGGGTTCACAGATGAAAATGCAACACTTTAGCTTATTTCTAGATGTTTAATTAATATTCATCAAAAACGAAGTAACTATTATTAAATGTGATTTATACCGCAAAAAAAAAACTATTTCACGTTCGTATTCAAAAAAGCGAAGTTCACAAGTGTCCTCAATCCACTTTTAGTGCTTCTCCCTAATTTCTACCTCAACTGAGATGTGGTATGTTTTCTCATACATTAGGTAGCTGATAATGGTGTCTGGTCAGCTCCGCTTACAGCCCTTCTGCGGTTACTGCCGGAAAGTTGAGTATCGGGATAGCGAGCCAATCTCGTAGAAAACCAACCCGTTAAAAATAACACTAACCAGAACAAATAATTCAAACGTGTACTGTACACATATTTGGTATTAACAGTTGTTTAATCAGTGTGTAACACAGGTTTCCTAACAAACGGTTTATAAACAACGTCTTTACGTTGATCGTACAATTAATTCTGTGACCTTATTTTACACCAAATTTAGATGAGTGCCTAATACTTAGATTAACTGAGTAACAACAATAGGATTTTAGATTACATGTTTTAATTACCTTCGCTAAGACCAACACTAATCCAATTTCCTTCTCAGGTCACTCAAGAAGTATCCTTCCATAATGTGGGCTTCCGGAAAGTAACATGCGCCCTCATACTCATAGTAGCGCAATCTCCACGTCCCTTTAACAAAGGTATATATCTACAAGTCAAACCTCTGATCCATCATTTATGGATGTTGTTAAGTAATTAACGGTTAGATCTGATATATGCCAGCTAAAACTTCAATCTGTCTTTACTGGATTCTTATCAATAAAAAGTATATTCTCAAGATTTTGATTGTTTCTAGTCAGAGCTATCATATAACACGTTTCGAGGTAAACTGTACGCTGTGTCCCGTCCCAAGATAGTTCTGGACAATTCGATTTCGCTAATCCATACTTCGTTACTAAAAAAATTCCCAGTTATAGCTTTGGTAACTAAGGTTCTCTGAAGAACTTTAGAACCAAGTTTCTTGACAGTAGTAATTTATAATTAGTACATGTGACGGTAATTAGAATGTGTTGATCGAGTTAGCGATTATTTTCGTGAAGTACATAGATTATATCTAATTGCTCAATCATAAAATACGCACGTCAACCTGTGATTGATCACACAAACGTCGCTAACAGCAAACCGTAGAAAGCAACCCCAACCGTAACTTTCCCAAAAATTGATAAAAATCTAGCGGAAAGAAACTAGTTCACCGACATACAAGTGACAATCACACCTACTTCATTCTTATTACAGCTATAAAAATAATTCTTTTTGAACAAATTACTACTGAATCAGTCAGACCTGTGTTGTGAACAACATGGCTCAAAATGGTTTGCAATGGCACAGGTGCATCCATTCTTTGTGTTCTCTGAAATCCAAATCTATTGAGCAGTAGTTCGCTCCGTCCTACTTTATGGATGCGAAAAATGGCCAGTAAGAGTAGAAAACATTCTTAGGTTATTAGTATTTGACTATAGATGTCTTCGAAGCATTGCTCGTGTATCATGGGACAACCGAGTAAGCAATGCTATAGTTAATAAGCCAGTGCTAAGTAGGGATGGTAGATCTATAGATGAAGTGGTGAAACTTCATCAGTTGAGGTAATTGGGACATGTATTACGAATGCCCAACCACTGACTACCTCGTCAAACTATGCTTTGTGGTGTATGAATAGATTGGAAGATAGGGCCGGCCAAACCAAAATATGGCAGAAATCCATGAAGTCACTGACTAGTGGACTGAGTCATGTTGCTAAATGTAGACTACCTAGTTGGGGTCCGCGACATGGTAGTATCCGATTATTAGAGAATTGATTGACATAGTACAAAATGGTCTGCAGTGGCACAAGTCCATCCACTCTTTGTATTCTCTCAAATCTTAACCTTCTGAATTCCTCATGACCATCCAAGGTATACGTCTTGAATGATAGATTCGATCATTAATCTCCTTAATTCATTTTAATACTTCTACTACCTATACTACTATGGGATTTGAATTGATGACAATTGCGTCTCTGATACGGCATGACAACTTGAACTTACGTATGTATGTGCATACGAAGTTCTACGTTGTGACTGACTGACAGGTCAGTTACAATACACTGAGACTATTTAGACGTTTTATTATATATATATATATATATATATATATATATATATATATAACAGATATGATTAAAACAGAACAAAAGAACAGTTAGCTTATTATTAATTGTTGTATTAAAAAAAAACAAAGATTGCTAACCCAGTGAGTTGATTCAAAAAAGAAGAGAGAAACAGAGAAACAGAAAAACAAAGCAACACGTACACGTACAAGTACACACACAGAGAGAGAAAGAAATAAAAAGGTAATTAAAACACATAATTTGTATAATGGTACAAATGGAGTTTGCCTAATTGTTGTTGTTTTTTAGAGCTTAGGTAAAGAAAAAACACTCCTAAATATGCATAGATTGTTTAATAGTAATAGTAATAACAATAATAATATTAATAATAATAATAATAATAATAATAGAAATAATAACTATTACATAGATATATATATATGTATATATACTTTTAACGGATGGATAAAATACAATGAAAAGAGAGAGAGAGAAAAATTAACAACCATGTACCCTGAACCAGATCAACATGATGATTGTTAGGATTTTAAAAAATAAAAAAACAAGGAAGGAAGAAACCATAGTCCGTCCATTGAAAAACTTGTTGTGCATTTTGCATTTCTTCATTCCTATGATGTGACCATTGTATTCGATGTAATGCCAGAAGTTTGACGTGAAGATAAACTTGCACCGGATATTGTTGTTGTAGCTCCTCCTCCACCGCCTCCGCCCCCGCCTCCTCCATGACCTGGAGAATTGGTCAGTACACCTTTTCTTTTTAATAATGCTGGATGAATACATGGCAATACACCACCATGACTAATATGTACATGTTTTAATAATTCATTTAATTCAGCATCATTTCGAACGCCTAACATGATATGCCTTGGTGTAATTGTTTTTCTGTAAATGAATAAAAAAAGAGATATATATGACTAGTTAGTGTCTCCGAAGCATTGCTCGAGTATCATGGGACAACCGAGTAAGCAATACTGTTGTTGTTAGGAAACAGGTGCTAGGTAAGGATGGCAGATCAATAGATGAAGTAATGAATCTTCATCAGTTGAGATGGTTGGGACATGTGTTACAAATGCTCGACCACCGACACTGCCTTGTTGAGCAATACTTTGAGGTGTAGGAGTAGGTTGGAAGAAAATTAGGAGCGATCAGACCAAAACATGACAGGAATCCATGAAGTCATGTTGGTAGGTGTCGACTACCTGGTTGGGGTCCGCGAGATGTTAGTAATCGATGGTTAGAGACCCGTTTGCAATGGCGCAGGTGCATTTACTCTTAGTGGCCTATGAAATTCTAACCTTCTGAATTCCTCATCAGCTTGATCTTTCTCTTTATAAATTTACCTCACTGTATTATACTGCTTGAATAAAATCTTCGAACCCTAATCTCTTCGATTACTTCCAGTACTTTTACTACATCTACTACTATGGGATTTGAATTGACAATTATATGTCTGTGCTAATATGGTATGACAACTTGAACTGCTGTACTTATGTGCAAAGTTCTACGTTGCTGTTGATGTTAACAGCCTGGTGGCATGAACTTACATCACGTGAAGGGGATATTGATAACTCTCTCTCTCTCTCTTCCTTAAGTTTAAAACACAAAATTTACCAACACACACCAGTGATATTTTAATGAGAAGTGTAAAACTTCGGTGGTTGAGGAACTGCTACCTAAAGAATCAGGCTGCTTCACAAAACTTGAACACAATGTGATGTTCACTCGGATTATACAACACACCTGACCAGTCCGTTTCTGTTGATACAGTCACTGGTATTAGTCTTAGGTTATTAAGGCAAAGAGTACCGAAAATCGAAGTAACCCCACAACGACGAACAAAGAAAAGCAGAAGCAATAATATCCACTACGTATCGTCATCCATCTCTGTACAAAATATTTTCCATGGAACACAGCACAAGAGATCAAATTGATCGAAATCAAATCCTTCCATAGAACACAACTAGAAACATTTTACTGCTCATGTAAAGTGAACATTACAAACTGATCAACTTAAACCAAAGCAAGAAAAAAAGGTCTTAAGAATTTAGTGTGAAGTTCATTGATCAAAATTGTAGTTATTTTTCGTGTATGTCAGGTAGTATAATACATAGCATTTTTATTGTAGAAGCTAAATTAGTATTTTATAATGCCCATTAAAACATCTTCAGTACGAAATCAGTCATTTATTTACAATGTAGAACTTCGTACGTACATGTTGCCATACCACATTAGCACACACAGACGCAATTGTCAATTCAAATCCAACCATAGTAGAAGTAGTAGAAGCATTGGCGGTAATGGAGATCATGGTTGAAAGATATTATTTAATGTGTGTAATCCAATGAAATAAACTTATTATCAATCAACAGCAACGTAGAACTTCGTACGTAAATACATCAGTTCAAGTCGCCATACCATATTAGCACAGAGATGTAATTGTCAATTCAAATCTCACAGTAGTAGAGGTATTAGCAGTAATCGGAGAGACTAGGGTCAGGAAATATTATTCAAGAAGTAGAGTCTAGTGAAATCAACTTAAAAAGAAAAAGGTGATGAGGAATCCAGAAGGTTAGGATTTGAGAGAACAAAAAAATGAATGCACCTGCGCCATTTCAAGCGGTTTTTAGCCATGTCATTCAGGATCTCTAACCAGCGGTTACAACTGTTTCGCGGACCTCAACCTGGTAGTCTGCACCTACCGAAATGACTCAGTCCACTTGTCAGTGACTTCATAGATATCTGTCATGTTTTAATCTGGTCGTCTCTAGCTTTCTTCCAACCTACTCTTACACCACAAAACATTGCTCGTCCATACAGTGGGCGGTTAGGTATACATAACACATGTCCCAACCAGTACGAAATCATACCAAGTTAAATGGAAAATTGACATGACAGCTAAATTAAATGAAATGAACTCAGTAAATTTAAATGGATAATAAGTTATATCAAACTAAGTATATTAACTCATTTATCAAATCCTTAGTAGTCATGAGCCACACTCAACAATCTATGCGAAGACTAATCATACTATACTACTGCTTGGTTGCGTAAACCAAAATAATTATCAAACGAGTGCTTTCAAAAAAAAAAGCAAACTGAAAACCAGATTCATTTTAAACACTTGATTATTGATCTACATCAGGTAATGTATGGCATTGTAAGTCAGTCAGTCAGTCAGTCAGTTACAACATAGAACTTCATGGATACGTACGTACGTACGTACATCAATTCAGATTGTCATACAACACATTATGGAATTGTATGACCTGTGAACTACACAGACTACAAGCGAATTAAATTTGATGCTTACAGTGATGAGATGAAATGCTTGACAAAAAACAAATGGCAACACAGTAACATTTATGCTCTTTTTTACTAAGCTTTTTATGATATTGTTTCATTCATGTAACCAATTATATTCTTTAGATTAGTTTTACTCAGTGAATGTTTTATGATGAGTATCTTTTGCTGATCATTTTACTTAGTGGCATAAAGTTAAGAGTACTGAATTAATATACAAAATGAGATATACACTGTTTTATATTTTATATTGCTTGATTCTTAATTAAAAGTTTATGTGGAAAAACTAGGAATATTGAATTCATCAAAAGACATTTAAAAATACCATGGCAGAAATCCATGAAGTCATTGACAAGTGGACTGAGTCATGTCGGTAGTTGTCAACTACCTAGTTAGGGTCCGCGAGATGATAATAATCGATGGTTAGATACCCTAAATGACATAGCTCAAAACCGTTTGCAATGGCGTAGGTGCATTTATTCTTTGTGTTCTCTCAAATCCTAACCTTCTGGATTCTTCAACCCCTCTAGTTTTGACTTTCTAAACAGTCAGTCAGTCAGATGCAACGTAGAACTTCGTACGTAAGGACATCAGTTCATGTCGCCATACCATATCAGCACAGAGATGTAATTGTCAATTCAAATCCGATATTAAAAGAGGTCGCAAAGGTATTAGAAGTAATCGCAGAGGTTAGGGTTAGAAGATACTATTCAAGGAGTATGATTCAGTGAGAAAAGTTTAGAGAGTCGAAACTAGAGGTGTTGAAGAATCCAGAAGATTAGGGTTTGAGAGAGCACAGAGAATAAATGCACCGGCGCCATTGCGAACGATTTTGAGCCATGTTATTCAAGGTCTCTAACCATCGATTATTATCGTCTCGCGGACCCCAACCAGGTAGTCGACAATTACCGACATGACTCAGTCCACTAGTCAATGACTTCATGGATTTCTGCCATGTTTTGGTCTGGCCGGCCCTATCTTTCTTCCAACCTATTCCTACACTACAAAACAAAGTTCGTCAAGGCAGTCGGTGGTTCGGCATACGCAACACATGTCCCAACCACCTCAACTGATGAAGATTCATTACTTCATCTATTGATCTGCCATCCTTACCTAGTACTCGTTTCCTAACGACAGCATTGCTTACTCGGTTGTCCCACGGTATACGAGCAATGCTTCGGAGACACCGATGATCGAAGACTAGTAACCTACGAATATCTCCTACTCTCACTGGCCATGTTTCACAGCCATATAGGAGAACGGAGCGAACTGTTGCACAGTACACTCGTCCTTTGATTAGAGAACGCCTACGCCTACGCCATAAGTGACGCAGGTTGGCAAAAGCCAATCGAGCCTTCTGTATCCGAGCTGAGATTTCGTCAGTCACCAGGCCATCGGCACTGATGAGACTCCCAAGATAAGTGAAGCGGTCTACACGCTCGACTACTTTCTAAACTTGTCTCACTGAATCACATTTCTTGAATATCTTCTAATCCTAACCTCTCCGATTACTTCTAATACCTTTACTACCTCTTCCACTATTGGATTTGAATTGACGATTATATCTCTATGTTGATGTGGTATGGCAACATGAACTGATGTACTTACGTACGAAGTTCTACGTTGCATCTGACTGACTGACTGACTGACCAAGTAGTAAGTAAATAGAGGGATGAGGCTGCTTAGACTCAAACATATTCACGAGTATTTGAAATAGACAGTAATGAGATATTTTATTTCTCTTCAAAGAATGGCTAACACGATGAACGATGCTTTCACTAGTGTAGAAGCTGGAAGCTAGGGGTGGCCAAACTGAATCCATTTAGACGCAAACATTGGTACAAAGGGGAACCAAAAAATATATATGCACCACACAATAAAGACGGGATTGCAAAGACAAAGAGGGGAAGGGTGAGCACAATGAATAAACGAACAAAAGGAACAGAAGTTAGGATATGAGAATAGTGATATTAATAACATGAGAAGCAGATGAGTTAGAGAAAACCACTAGAAAGGACTTTTTTAATTTAAAACAATCCCTTTCATATATTTGAAGAAAGCAAAAAAGTTCCAGCAGGATCGCTGATGGCTTCTGTTTTGAGCCATCTCTGATAACGTTTCAAGCCACAGTGTTGCACCATCTCTAGAACCCTTACTAGGAAGTTATTAAGAACTGATATGTCAGTTCTACAGAGCTTTCTTTCACACCACAATACCATGTCATCTACTAACCACCTCTCCGCTTCTTCCAACCAGTCGAACAGTGAACAAATAACGCACGGTGTGGAATTTTCTGGGACGACATTTGTAGTACGTGTCCAAGCCAACAAAGTCAGTGGTCATAAGGTGACGCCAGCTCAAACACGCACTGTCTAACCTCTGCACTACTAATATAGTGATGCCATTGAATTCCAGCAATCCTTCAGAGACGGGGATGACCAAACACACAGTCGCCGAGCATCCTCAACTTAATGCTCGATTTCGCAAGCATAGAGTAAGAATGCTCTCACTCAGATGTTGTAAATCCAACCTTTCGCAGCTAGACTAACTTCACAAAGGCGTCAAAGATAGCTCAGATTGACATAAGCCGCTCTGACTTTCATTAAAAGTGAACTGGTTTTGTTACTCATGCTGCCACCAGCACTTATACAGCTACCCAGATACATGGACTTCTTGACTAATTCCATCTTGCCAACCTTATAAACGTACTTTGCACTTAGATCTAAAATACATGCCACACCTTCAGACACTGATTGCCAAATGACCAGGTATGGATTTCATGGCTTGGATACAGTCACATAGTAATAGATCATCAGTATGCTCTTCCTGTAGGTGATAGATCTATACCACCACTACATGTATCCAACAGAGCTGTTTCCAGAACGTTGTCGATGGCAAAGTTGAAAAATGAATGAAACAATGAAGAGAGGTAATTGTTTGCCCTCAATCTGCCTGAGATATTTATTTAGGGCCTTTAGGATGTTAATGAACTCAGGCACACTGTTCTTCAAAAATTAATCTCAGAGACTATTCTTTACTAGACCCGAGCATAGACAAGGATAAAGTAAAGACATGGTTTTCATAACGATCTCTCCTGACTTTGATGGAAACTTCTAATATAACAGTACATAATCAAATGTTAATGAGGATCGAACCGATTAGTAACGCCATAGCTCTAGCACTTGGTGTGACACTAACCCCAACAAAACAAGATGATGCCAGTGTCTCCAGGTAAACGCGTAAGGTACAAGCTTTCCGAACCTATATGGGGAGCTAATTTGCAGCAGTTCATTAGTTTATTAAATAAGGGTTTCAGATAAACGACAGACCCATTTTAAGACTAAAAAGAGCCAACCCTGCCTGTTGTCCGATCCGCACTAGTGTATAAAAGTTAAATTTGTCCAGTTTGCATGGCACACGCTGGTTTGGAATTCGTAATCGGTGGTAGGATTTAACCTTCAACTAGTGACTTGAGACATGACTGCCACCATAGGCGGGTTGTTGAATAAGTGGGAAAATAAGAGAATGTGCGAAACCGGAGTCAAGGGGAATAGACGAGCGATGAAGAGTGAAATAAAAACCTATGTTAATGGATAGTTGTGTAGTTTGTGAGAATGCAAATCGAAGCGAGAAGCCTCCTAGTTGAAATCATCATTTGATGTGTAAAATACTGTCCCTAGCCCTAAACCAAAACACGACACCTATTAGCAGAGCTAATAACTGTAGGTCCGGGTCATTTCGTTGGTTTACAAATCGCTGTGCAAAAAGTTTAAAAACTAGGCCCAAGGCATATTCACGTCAACCAAGACTGGTTAGTGTTTGAAACATTTTTGTGCCAAAAAGGTTCCGAAAGAAAATCGGGTGATTTTAAATAGGTAAGCTCATTATGAACCATTTATTCATTAACTATTATCTGCCTATGCAAACTGTTATGAATGTAAGGTGTGTTTACCATACGAAGCGCGAAATATGCCAAAGCTTGACAGTCTCTATTTGCATGCATAACTGACATCTACACTCAAAAAACTTTTATTTCTTCCTTGCAATTCAACAATAAAGGTCACAAAAAGGTAAGCTTCCGAATAATGAATCCTGAAATTCCAGAAACGCATAGTAGAATTCAAAGTATAGATGTTGTAGGCAAAATAACGAGTTGTGGACCACCTGTTTAGGACATGCACATAACAATCTACTTACTTTTATCATACCTACTTAGCAGAATAATCAACATTTTGCTCCCCTATTTCACGTAAGGTGATCATAAGTTGAAGTAACAGCGATTGATACATGGGAGCAATCTGCTGAACTTGTATATATTAAGATTCAAAGATTGGTTTAACATAAATAAGTAGGAACAACTGAGCTCTTAACTAACCATAACACTTAAGTACTTAAGGACAACTAAAAAGCAGTGTTTATTCTGATTCATATAGACTCCCATAAATTTAGTGTAGAAATGTACATCAATAAAACATTGGACGAGCTATCATGTCAAAAAGAATGGTATCAAAGTAGCAGCTAATTATGTTGGTTGATTAGTAGTCTCAGCCGACATCCATTTTAAAAGCTAGAGTGAAATGTTTCAACTAATATCGTCCAGATACATAGTATGCAAGCCTTTTTGACGAAGGACCACAATAATTTTAAAAACTGTTATACAACCCTGCCTAGACAACAGTAAATTACTCGGGATATTTTATAAATTATTACTGAGGAATATTAATCAACAAGAAGTCCTAACTTTTTTAACAGTACGGACACGTTAGACGTGTGAAAATACCTCAAAACCTTAGTTGTCACTAATGTTCATGAAACTAAAAATAAAATAACAAAAGCGCTAACCTTTTGTTTGCTTTCGCAGCATTCCCTGACAATTCGTTTACTTCAGCTACTAAGTACTCAATAACAGCAGACATGTACACTGACGCAGCAATAGACGTCCGTCGAGCATATCGACCTTTTTTCATGTAACGGTGAACTCTACTGACGGAAATCACCAAGCCAGCTCTATTAGACTTCGTATGTTTCTTGCCACCAGCCGCTTTCCTTGCTTTACCTCTTCCCGACATAACTCTCAATACGGATTGACCTCAAAAAGAAACCTAGATCCCGGCGTACCCAGGAGGTCAATGACTTAAACAAAGTATTGGTTTGTATTTTCGGGAGCTTTCAAATTTCTTATTTTACGGATGAACTACACAGATATTCTAAGGGATTTTTTCAAACAAGTCTTCATGCGTGTCTGTTATTCTCCCGGGTATGTCAAATGACTGTCCTTTTGTGCAGCCCTCACTATTTCGTTCTATATTCCGCCCGATAGTATTTGAGGAGTGAGATTATTTATGACCATAGGTTACTTTTAACTTCTGCATACCGTCTAAGGGACAGAGTGACTTGTAGCACGTAAGATTGTGTCTAGTAAGTATTCTAGGTGTCCACAACAAGTTGAGGGTGAACTTTCCAACCCACCTTCTGCATATTGACCTTTAAAGACGATAAATTCAGCAGTTTGAAGTTTCGACTCTTGCTGCTAATGAAGTGTTCTAGTTCAGCTTCATCAATGAATGTGAGACCTATAAGGGCGCGATCTAAATTTTCCAGGAGGAGTGAAGATTGAAAGGATATGATTCAGGAATTCTTCATTCATGAAGATGCAGTCCAAGTATCCAACCAACAAGAAACCAGTGTACAAAAGCCCTGCAAGAAGATAGGCTTCAATGTCAGATCAGGTTAATTGAAAACTTTGTCTCCATTCTGAAGAGATTAGTCCGTTATACAGCATCTCTTCGGTAAACCAAAGACGCATTTTCTCAGTTGCTAAGTCCTGATGGACCAACTGATAATGAAGGTAGTGCTGCAGAGATTCTGGAGGAACAGTAGTTTCAAACATTTCAACCGCCATACAAGACTCACAATAATGAAAACTTCACCTTTAACCTAAGAGGTATCTCAAAAGTGAACCTGAGCTAGTCTGGTTTATCAAATACATCATCTACACCAGGACGATTCTCCTGATGCAGGCGGGGTTCATTCTGCCATACCGAAATAAGTAGCCAGCGCATATCACAACAATTTTCGAAGAATGCCTACACAATGAACACTCAAGCTGCCGGCAGATGACACTCCTTCCAATATGATAAAAAGTTATGGAGCCTTTATTACATGATGGCCTACGCGATTATTTTTTTTATCCATACACTTGTTTTGTCCTCAGCAACGCAGTTTTAATAAGGAGCACTCCTACACGACCAGTATGCCGTCTACTATAGACTGGTGAACAACCATGCTTCATTGCAATGGGAAGGTTAATGGTATGACATCTCAAAAGTTTTTGATAAGGTTAATCGTATATATTTCATCAATAAGTTCAAACTTTTAGATATCAAACTACCTTGTGGTGGTGTTTCGTTCTCTGAGCTCAGAGAACGAAACACCACCACAATCATCCACCTGAGCTATAAATTTTCTCCACCATATCAAACTACCTTTAATAGACTGGCTAACTTCACATCAAAGAAATAGACTAAGGTAAGGGTCCATTTTTGTTTTTCTGAGGCAATAGAAGGTCCGAGAGAAATCCCTCAAGATTCAGCACTATGGCCACTTCTCCTTTTAATTTATATCAGTGATCCTCCTCAACAAGGTTCGTCTGGGTTACTACTTCTCACCTACGATGTAAGGCTCTGGGGAGAGATCCATAGCTAAGATAATAAACTCACTCTTCAGAAGGGTTTAACTTGACTTCAAAGTTGGATAAATGACAAAGATCCTAGTAGTAGTACTAGTAGCAGAAGTAGTAGTAGTAGTAGTATTCCACCCGAGACATGCTATAAACTGTGCATACCACTTGAAAAATCACCTTTCAAGGGTCCAGGAGTCTTGGTTCCGTTCTGCCTACAGTTTTAAGCTAAGGATAAGAAACCTTGAACTGGTAAAGCGAAAGAGTATTTTGGTCATTTCGATAGCAGAATGTCCCACCTGCTCTTCAACAGCTTTATTTGGTCCCATTTAGAGTGCTGAAACACAGTGTTTCATTCCTCACTCCAAGATGACAAGAATAAACAGTAACGTGTGAAAAGGAGAGCCACGAAATCAGTTTTAGGACCCAATTTCAAACCTTAAAAAGAGCGTCGCGAGTCACTAGATTTCTGAAAAGTGACCTTAGTGATTCATAGCAATACCAACTCTAGCGAAGTTATCTGTTCCACTCCTTACCGACGACAAAAATTTGGAGGCCATACATTTTATTTCTGACAGGATAGCTCTACAAACCTTGACTTACAGGTCGAATGGATTCCAGGGGTCATTGGAAGGAAATCAGAGCAAGAGTGTGTTGATGAAAACCGCGATAACTCATGCAACTACACAGGACGTAATATGGTGCTATTGTAGGTATGTGAAGATCCAGGAGTCATACCAAGTAATAACCTTAAAAATGCTAACATTTGTAAGTCCGTCGCTGCCAAAAGCCTCAGAGTTCTATGTTAGGTTTAGGAGTGGCTTCTAAATTCGGAAGAACAGTTCTGGAAGTTTAGATACGCGCCTTTCCTAGTTAATCCAACAGGAAAGCAACTTGTCTGAGTAAGAAACGGTTACTTGAACAATATTACACTGCTCTTCTTTAAATTTAACACAATGTGTTTCCAATTCTGAAAGAATGCTTCCGTTACCATCCTAACTGCACCATTCCAGTGCAGACGTGCGTTTCACCCACTAGGGTATCAAATCCGATATGGCTGACGCCATAATTAATTATCAATTTAAACAACATAATACAGTTCAGTATAACACTTAGAAACTCCAATAAAGGTACAAAAAATAGAAACTATGACAAAATACAAATATTTTCATGGTACTCTACCTGACGTTTCTGAGGTCAAATACAGATGAAAGTTTGTGCTAACGATGTAGTTCAGAAGAACAATGAATGCTCCACAACTAAAACATCCAGCTCAGAGTACCAAACACCACCATCATCCTCAATGGAGGTTCACGTCGTGATATCTCCTCAAACAGCGATCATTGTCTAATAATAATCAGTGGAAGCATAGACATTAGTTTGAACCACATAGGTGTTACGTCCAAGTTTTACTCCTTCCCGTTATCGAAGTACAGCATGCCGATCTATTTGTAATTCATGAACCCAAATTAACAACAGAACCAACTCCAAAGTAGGTACCAAAGTTTATTTGTAATTCACAAATAATCGACCAAAATGTCGTTCGTCAATTTACAAATAGACGACCAATGTCGTTCTAACAACAATAATTAAAATAATTACAAATACCTTCAATTTTATAGGTTCCTGGAGCAAAAACTCCAAATGACCAATACCAAGACAAAGGGAATTCAAAATGGCCGAAAATAATAAATCAAACAAGTTCATAAGTTAAGTAAAACAAATACACCCAAAAAACAATGAAATTAACGATATTTATTTAAAGGTTTTAATCATCCAAATGTCTTCATTTCTCCCGTAATACTCCCGACCAAAAGAACCTTGGTTCTTTTCACCGACAAAAATAGGTAACAACAATCCAAGTATGTGCATCACAAGCAATCAACAACAAACATTCAATATGCCGACAATCTCGTGATCCCTAGGACTTACACCAGTACGCCTAGGGATCCGAGTAGCTACCTACCACCTACCGCTTCAAGAAGACACAGGTTACGTATATCTCTCACTAGGATCCCCTTTCTCGTCCTCAGTTCTACCTGTCTCACTAGTCTATCCTTACTTGGTATCACTCTCTGTACTAGACCTAAGGGCCACTTGTTTTTCTCAGAGAAGTCAGAACATATCATTACTACGTCACCCTCTCGTATGTTCCTCTCTAATTGTGTCCACTTGTCTACCTGTCTCACTACGTTGCTGTAGAATCTTTTTTGAATGTTTTGTTTTTTGGAAAATCCCTCCATGTTTACATATTTTTGTTATGACATGACGGACGTTTTCTGTTGGCATTTTGGTAATTTATGTGATTCCGATTTGAGATTTTATCATTGTATATTGTTATTATTTCTATATTTTGTACTTATATTGGAGATCCCACCCTTGCATATTATCTATGAGTCAAGAACTTCTGTTGATAAGTCAGCATCACGGACTTCATTGTATCTGCTGTCCGGAGCAAGTGGTGGTGGAATGACGACCCATCCCCATGACATGGAATGTAGTTCCCGGATAGGATATGACCAGTTTTACGACGTGTTGTACATGTTCGTGTGGGTTAATTGGGTAAGGTTTATACTACCGTTAGGTCATGCTACGATAGATAGGGGGATCAAGGGCCTGAGGGGAAGGTATAGGTACCTAGTTAGCTTGATAGGTCATATCCATGTTGGAGGGCTGGTAGGCGTACTGCTGTAAGTCCTACACGTTCTTCCGGTGTGGATTAGGGGATGAGTGGGAACCCTAAATTGAAGTGTCATTAACGGCTGCTTTTTTGCATGGAGGGATTTTGCGGGCCGGTGTAGAATCTTTTTTGAATGTTTTGTTTTTTGGAAAATCCCTCCATGTTTACATATTTTTGTTATGACATGACGGACTTTTTCTGTTGGCATTTTGGTAATTTATGTGATTCCAATTTGAGATTTTATCATTGTATATTGTTATTATTTCTATATTTTGTACTTATATTGAAGTTTTTATGTTTGCTTCTGAACTGCATATATGTTGTTTAAATTTGATCTTCAATATGGCTACAGCCATATTTGGATTGATACTGTGGCGGTTGGATCTAACATTACTTATTCCTTCTAATCTCGGATGCTCCTCGGAGTAATTGTGACTTGGAAAGTGCATCAAAATTCAGGTATTGATTTGTATTTCCATTTTAATATAATATAGACCGTTTTCTCCTAGAATTATTGTGTTTTTGACATTGGGTTGGGAGATAACGCGTACGAATTGCACTTACTGGAAACAATTTGAACTGCTACGGTAGAAAATCCATTTACAGTTGCAACAGCGAAACATATTCCTTAGACCAACGTTTCCAAAATACTTGCGCCAAGTAACTCGCTTGCTTCCATCTCTTAGAATACCTGTCATTAGATAGAGTGTTAGTAAATTCTGCAACATTCTCTCTCAATAGTAATAGTTTTCCTGGTGTTATTGTATCAAGA